CAATATATCGCCCAGCCCTAATGCACATCATGATTCGCGATATATTGCCAGGTCAAAAATTATGAAACCGTTATCACGATATGGACTTCAAACTAGTTTTGGACAATATATTGATATATTGCCCAGCCTTAGACCCCAGTAGGCAGACTGTGCCCCTGCCTTGATCTGCAAAAAAACCAACCAACCAACCCACCAACCAGCAGCTGAAACTGTTTTGGTTGAAGTAGGGGGATTTTGTTACCCTCCTTTTCCTGACATGGACATAATCTGTGATTTCTGCCTCTGTACAAAGCATAGGAGCAAGGGAACGCAAAGAAGTTGGCAGCCCCATGCACTGTGGAAATGGAGTGGATTGATGTCCCTTGAAAGAGTTAAGCATCATTGACGGCTGCCTCCCCTCCCCTTCCAGATTTAGGATGGGGTGTCCCTGGCTGCCTTCTCTGCGCTTGGGGCTTGTGGGCGAAGCATCTCTCCTCCCTGCCCTTCTCCCACCCCCCACAAAAAAACGCTGTGTTAAATCTGTGTAGCTCGTGCCGCACAACTGGCACCAGGCTCGACCACAAGTGGCCGTTAAAATAAACATCCCAGGCCTTAACTGACAGGCAGAGACGCAAAGCGAGAGAAGGCAGCGTGCTGGGGAATATTAAATGCGCTGCGAGAAGCAGCCTTCTCAAGACAAACAAGCCTGTTCCCTTCTTTTATGGGGTTGCCCCAGCCTGCTAGCCTCAATGAGCCCACTGTTTGGGACAGGCTGGCTCCTGCCTCGTGGGGCTGGCCTGTGGGGAGAGGAGGGGGGAAGGTCTGGTGCCAGCGGTGGCGGAGACTATGTCAGAAATTCAGCCCCCACAACCCACCCTGTGCAAACATGGAGCAAGGGCTGGGCGGCCCAGGAGCAGCTGGGCAGTTTGGCTACCGTCTCCTGCAGCCCAAGCAAGGAGGGAGCTGCTATTGCTGTCTTGTCTGGGCTCGTGGGCTTTCCAGGGAATGGGGCACAGGGCTGCAGGGAATGGGGCACAGGGCTAGGTAGGCATTGGCATTTGGTCAGGTGGTGAATGTGCACAGGGACTGTCAGTGCCGGATTTACGTAAAAGCTAAACAAGCTACAGCTTAGGGCCCCACTCTCTTGGGGCCCCCCAAAAAAAATTAAAGGAAAAAGAAACTGGATGTACATTTCCAAAATAAAAGATAAAAAAACAAATAAAATAAAACCTACATACAACAACAGCCTTTTGTGTTGTGTATGCTCCTATGATGTAAGTAATGGGCCCCGCCTGCTAGCCTGCTCCCTAAAATATCACTGGTTTGCTCATTTCTGTATCAATTACTTTGATAAAATACCTACACTTGATCTTACTCAAAAGGCCTAGAATTCCACCCCATCAAGAAAATCCCCATACTCGGATCCACGGGTGACTCTGGGCCAATTTTCTATGGTAGTTTTCCCCAGATTTTATGTGTTTATGCATTCAGCGCATTTTTTAAACATGTAAGCCATTTCTATATATTCTTTTAAATGTCTGCTTTGCTTTTGGGAGTGCAGTCCCATTATGTGTTTTACAAGCTGGTGTCCAACCGTAATAATAAATTATTATTATTATAAAATACCTGTTTTGTTATGTGCAAGTGGCTTTAGATACCTATTAGGTCCATCAATTACCATATAGCATATATTCAACACAAAAAAACAGCGACAATTTGTTGTTGACAAAGGACAGCTGCACATATAAAGGGCCCCATTACCTTCAGTAGCTGAGGGCCTCATCAAACCTAAATCCAGCCCTGGGGACTGTACCACTTCATTGTGCAAGGGAAGGTTTGCACGAGTAAATGTCTCTCTTGTCCCCTGGAATAAATAAAATCCTCTCACACAGAAAAATGGTGTATTGTGGTTTTAAGCTGGCCTCCTTCTTGACATGCTGGTTTTCTGTGTGCCAGGTTTCATTTCATTTTTAACAAAATGGAGGAGCATTCAGCTCCCACCTGGAGCCTGAGGTGGTATAGGCCAGACATGGGTTGAGGAACTGAGTGAGGACTTAAGATGTTAAACAGGGCTTCTGTCCAGGAAGTAAAACTCTTCTGATTGGGATGTTGTGGCTTGAAATCCTATACACACTTACCTGAGAATTAGTCCTAGTGAAATCAGTCCTCACAACTGTGCCTAAGAACATAAAGTAAGATTGCTGGCCAGTCTAGTCCAGCATCCTGTTCTCACAGTGGCCAGCCAGATGCCCCAATGGGAAGCCCATGAGCACGAACTGAGTGCAGCTGCACACTACACACTGTTGATACCCAGCAACTGGTATTTGGAGAGTTTCCTGCCTCCCAACAGCAGAGATGTAACATAGCCATTATGGCTAGTAGCCATCGACATAGCCTTTTTCTCCATGAATTTGCCGAATCCTTTTTTAAAGCCATCCAAGTTGGCGGCTGTCTCTGTCTCCTGTGGGGGCAAGTTCCATAGTTAAACTACTGTATGTGCTGCAGAAAGAAGGACTTCCTTTTGGCTTTCCTGAACCTTCCAACATTGAACTTCATTGAATGTCCCTGAGTTCTAGCACTATGAGAAACGGTGAAGGAATTTTCTATGTATATCTCTGTGTTGGTGTGTATATGATATGATATGTATACAGTGGTACCTCAGGTTACATACGCTTCAGGTTACATATGCTTCAGGTTACAGACTCCGCTAACTCAGAAATAGTGCTTCAGGTTAAGAACTTTGCTTCAGGTTGAGAACAGACTTTAAACTTTACTATGAATCAGCAACTTTCTGCTGGTTGAAAGAATGGGTGCTTCTTGAAAATACAGACATTTTGGATTTAGAAGGTTTTAACAACGTATTTGGATGGCATGCATATCTGTGGTATGATAAGGTCAAAGCACATAAAGCATTCAAGAATCATATTGTCAGGAAAGCATTGTTTAATGTTTGGATGAGATACAAGGATTTATTGGAAAATAAAACCCCAAGGTGGCTGTCACCGATGGAAGCGAAAGCTGTGAAAAGGCTCAATATGGAGGCCAAATGGCCGAAATATTGGGAAATTTTGGAACAAGATGGAGATAGACTGAAATTACAGAGTTTTGAAAAATTTAAAAATAAAGTGCGAGACTGGCTTCATTATTATCAGATAATGGAGGCATATAATTTGGACAAGAAAATTGGCTTCCAGGTGGAAAAATCAAAATTGGAAACAGAACTGTTAGAACCCAAAACTAAGAATTTGTCAAGAATGTATAACTTGCTGTTGAAATGGAATACTCAGGATGAAACGGTGAAATCTGCTATGATTAAATGGGCACAAGATGTTGGACATAACATAATGATGGCTGACTGGGAACAGTTATGGACCACAGGTATGAAGTTTACGGCATGCAATGCCTTAAGAGAGAATATTATGAAAATGATATACAGGTGGTACATGACCCCAGTCAAGCTTGCAGAAATCTATCATTTGCCCGATAATAAATGTTGGAAATGTAAAGAAACTGAAGGTACATTCTTTCACCTTTGGTGGACATGCCCAAGGATCAAGGCTTTCTGGGAGATGATCTATAATGAATTGAAAAAGGTATTTAAATATACCTTCTTGAAGAAACCAGAGGCCTTTCTCCTGGGCATAGTCGGCCAATTGGTGTCAAAGAAGGATAGAACTTTTTTTATGTATGCAACAACAGCAGCAAGAATACTCATCGCGAAGTATTGGAAGACACAAGACCTACCCACTCTGGAAGAATGGCAGATGAAGGTGATGGACTATATGGAACTGGCGGAAATGACTGGCAGAATCCGAGACCAGGGAGAAGAGTCGGTGGAAGAAGATCGGAAGAAATTTAAAGACTATCTACAGAAATATTGTAAAATTAATGAATGTTATAATGATGTTGGATAGAAATTAAGTGGTTTTCAGCTGTAATACTATGAAGGAATATGAAAAATGGATTATTAATAGGTAAAAATTTAATGTTACAATATTTTAAGATTAAAGACTAGGATAAACAAAGAGGGTAAGGATTTGCTGAACCAACAAACCGAACTGGAATAAAAAAAGGGAGGCGTGAGGAGGTCCGGGAAACAAGCTAATGAAAAATAAGTAATGGAAAGATTGAGTTGTTTTTAACCATTTTTATTCTGTATTTTTTTCTTTTTTTTCTTTTTATTTTGTAATATTTTGAAAATCTTAATAAATATCTTTAAAAAAAAAGAAGAGAGAACAGAAATCGTGCTCCGGCGGCGCGGCGGCAGCAGGAGGCCCCATTAGCTAAAGTGGTTCTTCAGGTTAAGAACAGTTTTAGGTTAAGAATGGACCTCCGGAACGAATTAATTACTTAACCTGAGGTACCACTGTATATGTCTGTATTTATAATTTTAGGGGGGGAAATGCATGCACACGGTAGCAAGATGGTGATGCTTAAGACAGATGTGGAGGAGAAGGCCTACAAGTTACAAAAAGGTCAAACATAGCAACCTAGATTTTGGGAAGAAGAGTGGGGACAGGTGCAGTGTGGGGGTGGCATCAGTGTGTATTTGCGTGCTCTGTGCATGTCTTGTGCTCACACACCATCTCCCCTGGTGGCTAGGTGTCCGCAGAAACATTTGAATTGTTTCTGTACAAGTCTCTTTCACAAAATTCACATTTGTATATGCTTTTTTTACAAATCCCAGAACACACACTTTGGGTATGGTACAACATTTTTCTGAGCTGTGTTGCAAAAGTTTGGAGAAGCACAAAATCAGAATTGGAGGATAACTGCATTGTATCACTGTACTGGTAGTCCAGAAAGTTTGCATGAGGTTGCATCACTTAAAAATGGCAGGCCACATGAATCATTGAGCACTATAATGTGAGATAACTGAGGCGGAAAGTTTTCTTAGAAACACCCTTCCCCCCTCATGGGGTGTGCCCCCAAAGTCCATGGAACCCTTGTTGGCAAAGCAAACATTCTAAAACTCTCCTCAAATGGTCCACGATTCATCTTTATGAAACATAATGGATGGCCTCTGTTTAGCTCAGTTGGTAGAGCAAGAGACTCTTAATCTTTGGGTCGTGGGCTTGAGCCCCATGATGAATGGAGTTCTATGTTGCAGGGAGGTTGGATTAGAATTAGTCTTGTGGTCTCTTCCAACTCAGTGATTCTATGGCCAGGTTCATTTGAGATAACTGCCATGTTAGTGTGCTGGTGCTTGATTTTGTAGTGGATTTCCCCCCTTCTGTTTTATTATTTATTATTATTTATTATTCTGTAAATACTGAATAGCATTCTTGCCCCTTGCTGTATCGGCTGTGGCTTGCTTTTGTAGTGACGAATCCCTTGCTATTTAGGCATGGTGGTATATGCAGAAGTATAGTTGGTCTGTGGTTGCAGGGTCTTGAAGACCCGTTAACTTTCTGCAGCAAGGTCCCTATCTTCAGAGTCCTTCAGCCACCCAGTTCAGCGTGAAAGGGGAGTGTCTTGGCCCCTGAGAAAAGACTTCTCATCCTTTGTACTGAAGGAAGTGAGTCAGCTGAGGATGGCTCCTAGGGTCACTCTGGAGAAGACACACAGGAAGAACACCAAAGAGTTGTTCTATGTGCTCCAGAGCTGAACATTCAGAAACACTGACAACACAAGGGGCTCCAGTTTCAAGAGAGTGATGTTCAAATTCTGCTGCGCACAGTGGAACTACAAGGAAGACATAACCTAAGTCATTCCAAAAGATGATATTGGAGCACTCCAAATCATTTGCCCATGTCAGTGCAAAGAAAACACAACACAGGGATTCTGCACTTCTGAATTTGCCACTATGCTATTGGGCATTATGTCACATCAAGTTGCTACTCTGTGTTTCTTTGGTTTTTCATCTCTGCATTTTCCAAAGTAACTGCATGAGTTTCATATGCACCTAGGCCCAATAAAAACGACTTTTTAAAAAAAAAGAAAAGGGAGAAGGACATTCCTCTCGCCCTCAAAAATGATATTTCAATACAAAGTAGCATTTCTCCTGTTGGGCCATCTTGAGAAAGACCTACATGCTGAACCTTTCAGACAGGGGAGAGAACTTTATTGGCAAGGAAGTGGGGAACCCCCAGCCTTCCCCCGCCGCCGCTGCCCAATTTGAAAGCATTCATTGGTGAAAGCAAGGAGGAGAACTGAAATGGCAAAAGTTGAGAAAATATATATGTTTTAAAGGGGGAGTTGGGAAACAGATGAAGTCATTTCTTTACTCAGTATCTCCGTACATGAGCTTTAGGAAGGCTGGATACAATCTGGGCCTTAATTTATATGGGCCTTTACCTTTAAGGAAAGGTCCATCGTTTATGTCTCTGTGTTGTATCTAAGAGACCCATTGAAATGAATGGACATGAGTAACTTAGGTTCAGTCATTTCAGTGGGTCTATTCTTAGTATAATGTAGTTGCAGACACTCAACAAACAAATTGCATGCTTAACTATCTTAATTTATATTGAATCCTTTTCTCATTCTAATGCAGATGTCTGTCATTAATTGTGTATTGGTCGTCCCCACCCCACCCACCCCGTTCCCTTTCCCCTTTGAAATTGCATTTGCATTCACCCTTATTATTTATGAAATTACTTGTCCACCTCATCAATAATCAAGATGAACGCTGTCTATAATAAGTGTTCTGACTTCTTTACGGCTGAGACTCCTAAAATAAGAACAGCCTTTAAAACTGCAAACAGGTAGCAATGCTCTTTTTTAAAAAAAGGAAAAAGAAAATGTGACTTATATAATATGCCAGTTGCAACAGACTTATTTGAGAGATGATCTTAGATTTTAACGTGTGCCTCTTAAAATTAGACAGCCCTCCAGTGTTTGCCTTAGATCCACTCCCTCCAGCCCTCCAGCCAGCGTCTTTCATTCGAAAGTTGGCTTTAAAACGAAGCCACGTCCCAGTTGAGGGAATTCACCGTTGAGCAAGGTAGAGAGCTCCTAGTGGCACAATTCGCTCTTTGTGGAACAGGCTTTATGAAAGATCTCACTGTTCCCCCCCCCTCCCCACAACATCACTTTATTACACTCTTGGGTGAAAATTATCCAGACCCCAAAACGCCCTAATCTAAACACAGGCACGAGCCGTTAGCTTCCCTAAAGTAAACTCCCTCTGTCGACTCACTCCCACCACCGCCCCGTGCCCGGTTTTTCTTTGGCCTGGTTCAATGTTCGTCATATTTATGACGGTACAAAAATAATCCTGATAGAATATAATTCTGGCTGCAAAGATGGCTTAGAGACGGACAAGAGGAGACCCTGGAAAGGAAAGTGGACCTGGGTGTTTTCTGCAGGTTGGAATCAAGTTAATTTAGAAAGCGAGGGGTGAGATTTAAACCTCATTATTTCCTCATTCTTGCTAAGAGGGAAACAGTGAAAGTAAGGCCGAATGAAACAAATCTCCCAATTGCTTATTGTTTGGGGGCAAGGAAGGAGAGCATTTTCTTCCCCCACACATGCCGTCCACTTGGCCAGGTCCAGGGAGAAAAGTCCACGAGGCTCTTAGCTGGGTTATATCTCAAAGCCTTACCAAGTGTCAGGGCAGGACCCAAGGCCATGGCAGGGCCGTAGCTCAGTGGTAGAGCACCTGCTTTGCATGCAGAAGGTGCCAGGTTCGATCCCCATCATCTCCAGGTAGAGCTAGAGAAGACTCCCATATCAAAATCTAGAGAGCCACTGCAAGTCAGGGCAGACAGTGCTGACCTGGATGGACCAAAGGTCTGACTCAGTATAAAGCATCTTCTGTTCCTAGGGCCAGTTTCATACTGTCGGCTAATTGCACATCCCCTGCCCCTGTTCTCTTCTGTGCCTGGAAAGGTATCGGACATGTGACCTGTGCCATCATCCAAAGCAACTCATTCAGATTATTTATTTATTTCATCAAAGCAATATCCTGTTTGATTGTTATAAACCCTAACAATTTCAATGCAGTTTACAAAAAGAATAAAACTATGAAATTATTAGTTGAAAACAACCGTTTAAAACCTTCAACAAGCAGTGCTGCATGTGACAAAGGCAGGATGTCAGGAGCCTCAGGTATATCTGGTTAAATTCTGCTCCTAGTAGACTGAGCGGTCCAGGTCCTGATAGTGGGCTTCCCAGAAGATGCTGGACTCGATGAGCCACTGTGGCTCCAAGCCAGCAGGTTTTTCTGCTGTTCTTATGTCACTGGCCAGAGGATGCTGGATTTGAATGGTCTAACGAGGTTCTTGTCTTCTTATCACTGGAGGATACAAGGGGTAAGGTTACTATGCCTGGCACCCCTTCCATTGCTACCCCTCGGTCTGCTTCCTCCCTTCTGCAAGGACTTCAGCATGGATCAAACATGTGACCTGGGCTGTGTTAGCTAACGCGGGGTCGACTGGGTGGGTGAAGGACCTGGAATGCAGAGCTAGAATGTCCCTTCTCCCACCCACGGCTGCTGTTGCCAACTCTTAAATATTTTGCAGGGATTCTGAACAAATAAATATCCTGAATGGAGCCATGGTTTTCTAATGTAATTTTAGCTCTGCGTTTCCCCAGGAATGCTCAGAATAAATAGGTAATATTTGCAAAGCAGCCTCCTCTGTTTCTGTTCAGAGTGGGGGCCACTGAGGCTCTTTTATGGTGCTGCAGCCATGTCACTAACTTGGGGTTTGGGGGCGGTGTGGAGCACATTGGAACAGGGGAAGCAGCCTTATACTGAGTCAGATCATTGGTCCACCTAGCTCAGTATTGTCTGCCCTGACTGGCAGTTGCTCTCCAGAGTTCCAGACAGGGAGTCTCTCCCAGCCCTACCTGGAGATGCCATCAAGCATTGAACCTGGAACCTTCTGCATGCTAGGCAGAGATGCTCCGCTGCAGAGCTCTGGCTCTTCCCAAGGAAATCGCTGTTGGCCGAGCAGTACAGAGTTGGGGCGGAAATTCAGTTTGCATTTTCAGGCAAACCTGCCTAATTCACACATCCCAAAAACAAGCTGACAACTAAGACACAGCTGTCTTTTGTAATTTGCACGCATACAAATGTTGCAATGCAATTCTGTAGCCCCAAATATGCATGCAAAAATGTGTATTTTGTAAGTGCATGTATCAGTGATGGTAGCATTCCATCAGGCAAGACTAGATACAAAACTCTCTATATTATGAGAAACGGAAACAGTGGTACCTCAGGTTACAGACACTTCAGGTTACAGACGCTTCAGGTTACAGACTCTGCTAACCCAGAAATAGTACCTCAGGTTAAGAACTTTGCTTCAGGATGAGAACAGAAATCGTGCGGCGGCAGCGGGAGGCCCCATTACCTAAAGTGGTGCTTCAGGTTAAGTACAGTTTCAGGTTAAGAACGGACCCCTGGAACGAATTAAGTTCTTAACCACTGTACTACAATGCTGACAATTTTTTTATGAGAACTTTTTTAAAAAAGGGGGGAAAGACAGATGTGCTTAAATGAGAGATTGGCCTCTTCCACATACCCACTTGTCCCATGCTTGGAAAACGCAGGTTTCAGGGGTTTTCTGATTACCCCACTTCTTTCTCTGGGAAAACCCGCTCTTTGCCACTGAAAACCTGATTGACGTTTGCTTCGAGTGGGTTTTCCTGGAGAGAAAGCAGCAGAGAAAGCAGAAGTGTGGGCAAGCCCAAAGATGGAGAGGAACAGAAGCTGTGACAGATTCAGCCACTCCTGGTGGACACTAACCAGCTCCCATTAAGCGCTTCCAATTCTCATTAAGGGTTCGGCACAGGAGGTGCACCTTCCACTGAAATCAGCAGGCCACTCGATCACGATCAAATGGTCGCCCTCCTGTTCCCCAATCACATTTGCCGCTCAATATAAAATGCATCGTAGTGCAGAAAAGGGGATCTGTCCCTCGTTTTAAAATGAAGAGCTTTGTAGAAACAAGGCCGAGGGAATGGGTTAAAAATGAACCAGCAAAATCCACTCCTCTCCCCACACTGCTTCCCAAGCCTTGCCTTCTATACCGGGGAAATATATATATATATCTGCTGTACATCTGAAGTTTATTTCAGTCCTTGGGGAAAGTGGCGCGGCGCTACGTCTCTAGTAAATTGCTGGCGTTTTACGGTCGCGCAGGCACCCGAGCCAAACAGACATCGCCTTGGCTCGTTCGCCCGTCTCAGGGTGGGCAGAGTCTGGCATGTTTTCCTCCGAATTGAAGAGTGTCATTGATGGGGTTGGGGGGGGGAGTTTCAGTGCAGCCAAAGCTTGTAAGGTAACTTAAAAAAATTTCAAATTAAAGCTCTCTAGGGATGTAATTATTTTGATGTTTCGTTACGGAAGAACCGCCCCCGCCCCTCCTCCTTGCAACCTAAAATTTAGGTCCTTATGTGCTTTCATCCAGGCAGTGGAGTTTCACATTTTTAAACTTTTATGGGACATACTTATTTATTGCTGTGGGGGGGGGGGTCCAAAAAAAAGTGGGTTGAAAGGGAGATATATTTAGCCTTTGCTACTGTATGTACTTGCTGCCCATAAGAGGTTTGCACCCAGGTGTGTGCACTGCAAATCAGGCTTGAGTGTGTGCACTGTTGTATCTACACATACCTGGGCATGAGGACATATTACCGTATTTTTCGCTCTATAGGGCACACCCAACCATAGGACGCACCTTGTTTTAGAGGGGGAGAACAAGAAAAAAAAAATCTCCCCCTCTCTGCTCAGCGCCCCTTCAGTGAAGCCGCAGGAGAAACGGAGCCCCTTCCATTTCTCCTCCCGCTTGGCTGAAGGGGCGCTGCGCAGCTCTCCCTCTCTGCTGAAGCCAGGAGAGTCTTGCTCTCCCGGCTTCAGCAAAAGGAACCCGAAGCCTCCGGAGCGCAGCGGGACCTCCCACTGCGCACTGGAGGCTTAAGGCAGCTATCCCTGAAGCCTGGAGAGCGAGAGGGGTCGGTGCGCACCGACCCCGCGCGCTCTCCAGGCTTCAGCGAAAGCAACGCGAAGCCTCCGGAGCGCTGAGGGAGCGCTCCCTCTGCGCTTCGGAGGCTTCGCGTTGCTATCGCTGAAGCAAAGAAGCCTGCATTTGCTCCATAGGACGCACACACATTTCCCCTTAATTTTTGGAGGGGAAAAAGTGCGTCCTATAGAGCGAAAAATACTGTAAGTCATGGCAAATGAACCTGCAGGGGTGCTGTGTGAATCTGTTAACATGTCAGAAGCTGCACAGGTAGCTTGGTAAAACCTAGGCACTCTCCTAAGAAGTTAAGGGCAGTATTGCCCTAAGCTTGACCAACCAAATGCGGATGAGGCCTTGCTCCGTGGTGTTCTTTTCTTGCAGAACTGAGGCATGCACACCAGCCTTGAAAATCAACCCACAACACTTGCTAGTCCAGCAAAACACTCCCTTTGCCTGTGTGCCCACCCATATACCTGCATCCTATGCTTTGAATCACATCCGTGGCTAACGGGAGCCCAGCTGCCTTTGGTTATCAAGAGCCATCCTGCCTGATCACCTGAAGAACCATAGAATTGTAGAGCTGGAAGGGATTCCAAGAGTCTAATCCAATCCCCTGCAACAGAACGTGCATTTCAAGCGCCTTAATACTTTGTCCTGCATGGACAAGAGAAGGTGCTCCACCCCCCCCCCCCGGTTTGGAAGGAAAATATATTTCCTCCCATCTTGGAATCGCGGCATAGAGCTTCTGCCCAGTCTCGCTAACTCAGACTAACTCAAACCAGCTCCCGTCCGAGGGAGGGCCTCTGGAAACCTATAGGTTCTCTGACCCCGGATACAGGAATCCCCTGACCTCCTGCCCCCTTGGTGTAGGGGTTTGGCAAAGCACCGTGACCCCGTGGCTTGCTCCATCCTGCCCCAGTGTCAGCGGAAGGAAGGATGCGGTATTCTGTCCCGAGGGAATTCCAGCCGGCTCGAAAGCGTATAAAGCAACAGTATGATTAATTCCAGCTTTGCTAATAAGGACTTGCATTAGTTACAGTGTTTGGCAGCTGGGACGATCCTTCGTAATCATATTCCCCCTCGTGGTGTTTGTAATTTTGTGTGTGTGTGTGTATTTTTTACTATTGTTGTTATTGATGTTTTAGCTGCAAACAATTTAAAGATGTGTTGCGTCTCCTTCAATTATCGTCGGCTTTCCAGGCCATCTCTGCGTGGCTGTCAGGGATTCTTTAAAAACAAAAACACTGGGGATGAATAGTGCCTGTGTTAGATACGCTAAGATGAATTCCTCTCGACTTCTTGTTGTTGTTTGTTTGCTTTTAATTGCTCCGCTCTTTTTTCCAGCGCTGCGTGATTCATGTTTGAGTTCTTGGTTTGAGGCCAGATTACATATCTTGTCATGTTTACTTCCAGTATCTGAAAGCAAACATCCCCTGCAAACCCCTGAACTCACTCGCTCACGGAGAGCCGGAGTATTGGATGCCGTCATGGGGTTGTATCTTGTATTAATCCTTCTCAGAGTAGACCCACTGGAATTAATGGGCATGGCTAAATTAGAGTTATTAATTTTAATAGGCCTACTCTGAGTAAAGCTTAGTCAGAGACAGGCCTTTATTTGTTGTTTAGAATCATAGGATTGTAGAGTTGGAAGGGACTCGGATCATCTAGTTCAGTGGTTCTCAACCTATGGGTCCCCAGATGTTGTTGGACTACAACTCCCATCATCCCTGAGCTCTGGCCTTGCT